TAGAAGATCGTTGTCAATTCGATTCGCGCAAAGTGGGAATTCAGCCAGAATTAGAATGACTTTAACTGATGAGTGAAATAATATATAGTATATAGTTCAGTCATTTTAATAGATTCACTTGCATGTAATCAAACTTTAGGGTGGGGTCGAGAGAAGTTAATAAAAAATGTAATGCGGTTAGCTGATGAGAGAGACGGAGACAGGTCAGCCATAGAATCTGCATTCACTAAGTAGACACCAAACATGTACAATCGAAATGATGCTACGCCTAGCTCGGATATGCGGAAAATTTCAATAAAAGTCATGAGGGAGAGGGAAAATATGTAGACATATAAATTGCGCGTCGTCATCAAACTTAAGATAGCTTGACATTTCACTTTCTACCTCACTTTCAATGACTTTGAAAAGGCCTTCGACAGCGTTGAATTTTGTGGAACACCACTCGTGAAGAGCGAAAAGACAGCGATAAGTTGAACTGACAAGAAGACTCTACAAGATCCGACTTCGCAGCCGATAAATGTTTAATATCACACAAGCTCACAACTTTAGTAATAATAATAATTTGCTTTATTCCAAAACAGTACTTGTTGTACAGAATGGAATTCTCAGCATTTCACTACAGTATTTCATTCAGTTTTTACATTAACAATAAATAAAATTCTGCATAGATTTAGGGTAATCTCGGTTAGTTTTGACAACAACATATTGGCATATCGGTAGCAAAGCCAAAATAAAACAGAGTGTTTGAAGGCATTGGCAACGTAAATACAAGCATATTTACCGGCGTAGGTGGTAACAAAAGGTCGAGATATACAGAGTGTGAAAGAACGAAGAAGAAAGTTTGTAAAGAAGGGAGAAACAAAGCTGCACATAACAGAAAAAAGGAGACGAGGAAAAGAAAGAAAGAAAGACGTTGTACCTATAAATGATGATATGAGTTGGAAAGACGAGATCCAGTTGTTCTACTGATCATTTAATAAGTTATACGTATCATGCCTAATGCTTTCTTTATCTCACAGAACACGAGCTATGTAGGGTATGGTTGAGTTTTTGTACTTGCTAGTGCGAGCATATAATTTTCTGTATGGGCTTCTAGTTCTACCTGATGAAATACAAGAGGAGGGTTGTGAATGGATAGGGTCGTATGAGTTAAACAGATAGAGTGGATTTAGCCTATTTTTCTCATGAATCCAAGTGCCTGTCGACCAGAATATTAACAAGCTGGTTAAGTGGCACGTTGCTTACCCTGCTGACAACATTTAACATCCTAACTAATAAGATATAGAACAATAGAGAATAATATGCAGGATGGAACAGTTAACCAATCGTAAGAGTAACGGTTTGGTTATTCCAGGATGTTTTAATTTACAAGGGAGAAACCAACCACTTGGCAGAAGTGGTAGGCAGAGAAGACGGGATCGCAAGTGAACGCATAGGAGATGGAGGTGATGAAAATAATGAATCATCCAACAATTACAAGCAGCAATCCTCACCAACAGTGAGATATAAAATTGAGACTTCTTCACTCGCTTATCTAAGAAGCATGGTTTTAACTGAAGGCATTCGACACAAAATGAGTTTGTCAAAAAGAGAATCGCAAAAGGCAATACAGGGCTTCACATTTTTCTCTGAAATCAGTTTGGAAATATTTTGCACTCAACATAAAGAACGAAATTTAGGTTTATAATACAAACATTGAGTGAGTCAGTCTTTCTAAAAGAATCAGAAACTTGACGTGTACGTCTGGAAGAGCATTTGGAACCGGCTACTTCAGACTTTTATCAATAACTGCATTCATACTGGTCTTATCATAGTGAATATCAGATAGCCTGTCAGAAAGAATAAGTAACAAGAAACTCTGTTGACGGACCAACAGGCAAATACCTTTTGCTTAAGAAGTATCCGGAAGATGATAAAGATGGATCAGATACACGCTAAACAGATCTTTAGATGACACATTACACTAGGCTAACGCTCGACTGGGTGACGAGTTGGGTGTCGGTCTGAAGTTGCCAAAGAAGAGATTTTTCAAAGTATCATTGATATAGGAATGAAACTTGTGCACTGTGGTAGAGTGTAATTCCATTCTAGGGTAAATTTTGTTTTGATAAAGTCTCACAGTGCTGTTATACAGCAATGCTTACTGATGACGTTTCGAGCACAATTTATTACTGCTCATAATCATATCAAGGCACTACTCACACGACTTCCTAAATTCATTTATATAGTTCCATTATTTTTCACTTGATTTTCACTTGATTTGATTGTTTGTAGTATTTTTCATATTTCAGGTATGAGTGATGAATCATTCCTGTTGCCATGTGTTGAGTGTAGACTCGATGAACAAGGTATCAGTAATCAACCTCTCTCTCCACCTACCTAGATTACTTTTTAGAATTTTAACCCTTTCCCACCCTATTGTGTGGTTGCTTGTTATTTCATGAAGTGCAATTGCTGAGCTCTTTTCTAAATTACTTATCTTCTCTGCGTCAACCATTCTTACCTTAGCTAAATTCTTATGCTCTGACAATCTGACTACCCCTGACCTACTAGTTTGACCTATATAGTTGACCTAACTCACAGTCATTGCATGGTATTTTGTAAATAATATTATTTTGTCTAATTGGGTCAACTTGGTTTTATAACCTACACAGCTTGTCCCTGAGTGAGTTTGAAGTTTAAATGCCACCCTAATTCCTGCTTTATTTAGAATCCTAAGTAGGGTTTCAGATGTCCCCTCTTTATATGGTATAACTGTAGATGACTTATATTCTCTCTTACTTATGTTATTATTATTAGTTTCACAATTATTTTCATTTTTCGTCTGGCCTTTATTGATCTTCCTTATGAATTTTAAAGCATAGTTATTTAACACCAAAGCCTCTTCTATCTGTTTTAGTTCATCATTTAAGTCTTTTCTTGTGCTACTTAGTGCTACTGCTCGGTTTGTTAAACACTTAACTAAGCCTGCCTTAACAGTCAACGGATGAGATGAATTGAAGTCTAAGTATCTATTGGAATGAGTTGGTTTTCTGTACACACTAGTGTGTAGTTTACCTTCTTCTATCCGTTTTACTTTACAGTCTAACATTTCTAATTCTCCTTTTTCATTTTCCGATTCAAATGTGAATTTTATTCCCTCCAATATAGAGTTTATGTGTTTCAAGAAGCTGGAGATATGTTCCGTTTTCAGCACAGTGAAAGTGTCATACACATATAACCACCATATTTTTGGAGCAGGATTAAATGTATTGAAGGTACTATTTTCTCAGCTGTCCATAAATCTTTCTGTTACGATAGGGGATATTGGTGATCCATCGCATTGCTATACCTTCTGTTTGTCTTTATATTTCGCCTTGGAATTTAAAGATAGTAGATGTGAGGCATAACTGAATCCCTAAAATAATTTGTTCAATGGGCAGCTTTGTCCTATGATTGAGTTCAGGATCCGCATTTAGTTCTTTTTTAACTGCTTCTAAAGCCATATTGACTGGTATATTAGTATAAAGACTAGTTATATCAAAACTGACCATTGTTTCATCATTCTCTTGTTGAATTTCGTTTAGTTTATTTTTCATCTCTTATGAATTAGATAGTCTAGAGTTTGAACGATTTCTAATGCGGCATAATATTAGAGCTAAGTGTTTTGATAATTCATACATCGGCGTACTTCTAAAATCTACTATTGGTCGTATGAGGTAACCTGGCTTATGTATTTTAATAGTACCATACATTCTACTAGCATTGTTAGTTTTAGGCATTGAATTAAACTATTTAGACTCACCTAGTGACGGCTTCATTCTGCGTACTAGTTCTGCTGTAGATTTCTTCACCTTATTCATTATTGTGTCTACAGGCTTCTTAATTTCTTCATATGGACCCGTTTGAATATGTTCAGTAACTTTTTTGATATAGTCAGATTTATTCAAAACTACGGTGGCGTTTCCTTTGTCAGCTTTTGCGATGACAATGTTTTTATCCTGTTTTAGACTAATTAAAGCTTCTCTTTCCGATTTTGTTAAGTTTGATTTTGTTTTCTTTTGATTTTTCAGGGTTAATGCACATTGTGCTTGAACCTCTTCTGCTGTTGTCTTATCTATTGAGCTTCGTGCCACTTCTATGTTAGGAATGACATCTTCCGGTTTTGATTTACTGACTATTACGTTGAAATTTATTCCTTTCTCAAGTACATTTATCTCACTAGAGCTTAGTTCCCTTGATGAGAGGTTGATCATCCACTTTGCTCTATCGATAGAGGATGAAATGTTGACCACAATTTCGTTTGTTGTGTTCTTTTTTTCGTCAATAGGTTTGTTGAATTTTTGATTTGTGTGATTTTTGATTTTCTTAATGCTGAATCTCTAGCTTTTTTGAATGTTTCAACAAGAATCATATAATCTTTGTCATTGACCATATATGTTTCATATTATATTTTTATTATTTTATTATTTTTTGAGGTATGAGCCTATGAGAAATTTTCGTATCGACTAAAGAGCACTACAGGGTGAAATATAGATTTTCTATTGAGGCCCTATATCCCACTCGAAACACAAGGAAGTAACAACAATATAAATTGTGGAGCTGCATAATTAGATACTTATATGATTATGGGCGGCAATAAATTTTGCTAAAAATTTCATTCACTGTATTGAACATCACTACATAAACTTATCTATAATGGAACTACGACTATATAGATTGCAAAATGGCATCCACAGTTCAGTGGTATGATATGCTCGTCGACTACGCCACACATATGCACACCATCGTGTTCTTAGGTTCAATCTCCGGTTTTAATTGCCCTTGCAAACCTAACTTAACCGGTAATAAGCCTGAGAAAGTGAGAAAGTGTAGGGATGTGTAAAAGCTAACACGAAAATAAATAGAAATACTACTGAAACGTTTAAGTTTAAGCAAGCATGAAATACCCCTCCCCCACATCCCACCTATGTTGGACATTACTCACTGGAGAGATAAAGAAAGTGATCACAGTAACTTACTTTTAACAAATACGGATAAAAATATGACAAGATGATAGCATCACCAGCTGACAGCATACAACGTTTACTGGATTTGCCAATTTTATATAACCATAATAGGTGAGTATTGATCAAACAGATTAGAGCTGTTAGAATACTGAGTAGCACTAATCCACCGACACGACCTAATCCACATTCTTTCCAATTGCATACATCCTTTAACAACTGTTCATAACTATGCGACTGTGAGTGGAATGTAGCTTTCGGGTCGTTTTTTGATAAATACTTGTGTACACTGGCATCGCTGGCATATAGGGTGCTTGCATCATATGAGATTCGTTTAATTCCATGAAATACGCATCGAATATGATCGTCATTGTTACTACAACAACAACAATAAAAGTTTCTGAATAATAAGAAGTTAGATCTCTTTTGATTGTGTAGTTTTTGTATGTTTCTTTGACCAGAATGGCAATCAGCTTCACTGTCTAATTGCAGCTGACTGTTTGATTCCGTGTAAGACAGCGCATCACTTGTATTGTTGTATATAATTTTAGGTAAAATTAATCTGTCTTTTGTCCTCTCACATTTCTGTACCCTCGTCTCACTGGTACAATTGTCTAGATCGTCGTCCACACCAACATCGTCATCATAATCATCATTGTGCGCGCCTTCACTGACAGCATTAGGAATTCGTCGACGCATTATACGCTGACGACTCATTTGTCTCTCATAAAGATAATGTCGATTCCTATATTCACCGATAGCTCGATCACACAGCATTAATCCAATTAACCAGGTTGGTATATATCTTAAAATATTTGTCATGTAAGTAACTGTACGACAATAGAAATCATGACTGTGCAGACTGATAGCTGTGCTCGAAAATTGACTTGTGATCATATTCAAGCCAAGTACTAATATTAACCATAATAAACCAAATATACAATAGGATAAAATAAGTGGCCATGTCGCAGGGAGATAACATCGTACAATTGACTGGTGTTGCATTAAGATCATAACTTTTTGATTTGATTTACTCGACAGAGTATAGAGTTGATAAACGCCAGATATTGAGGTAATTAGGCTGAAACAATTGACCAACAAGAGGACTGGTAATAAATACTGTTGTAGGTTAAGAGAGAAATTAGCTTGCCATGAATTATTATGCATTATAGTGAATATATTTATAAACCAAGTTGATTTGCCTAGATTACACCAGTTGTACAGGGATTGTAGTTCCACTCCACTGTACTCGCCATCACCACCACCTATAACAATGGGTAGGGAATGATTGAAATGTGTGAAATGATAGTGAATGATGTCAGTTAAATGGAAACATTGATGCATAGCACTCCAAAATAAGTCGACATTATTACTCAGAAGATTGTTCAGGGATCCCTCGGAATTATTATTTTCATTTTCATGGTAGATTGATGAAAGATTTTCATGTTTCAGGAGAACTTGAGCTTTGTTAATCGCTTCAAAGTTTAGCTGATTCATAATAATTTTGTGATAAATTTTTAAAATTCCTTTTCTATAAAATTTAATAAAAACGTCTTTTACGGTATCATCATGAACCAGATCTACAAAATCAGCGGAAGTGAATAATTTTGGTGTGTTGTTGTTGTGGTTGTCAAGATAGGCGGATTTGTCCAATTGGGTGATCAGCCAATCATATTCGTTCGCTGAACTGACCAATCATATTGCAGGGATAGACACTATTGTCAAAATATGTGTCCATTCTGAGTGGGATATTTTCATTAAAGCTCATGTGTCTAGTTTTTCATGTCAATCGGGTGGTATTTAGTGTAGTGATCGGTTTCAAGGTTTGATTATGGATTGATATCAGGCAGAAAATGATTGAAAACCAATAAAGAGCGCTGGATAATTCTCCACATCTGTGACCCCCTTGAGGTTAGAAACCAGATCCTTCAAACTGTGCTGACAGGCTCATTTACTACCAATGACTTAACTACACAATGATGTTGTCTGTAGTTGTAGTGGGAATTCCCGACTCCGTAGAGTCCCCCACTAAGTCAGATGTGAGAAAAAATAATTTTCGAAAAAGCAAGAACAACAGTGGTTTGTACAGAATAATATGGTGACATCGTTTATTTCGTTGGCTTCACATCAGCCAAGGGAACAAACTCTTATGATAGCACTATTACCGGGCATATTCTCGATGAGGTGGAAATCGCGAGTTCCTTTAAAATTATCAGTAGACAGGCGAGCTTGATTCTCCTCAAGTTTGCCGAAGCATTTTCTATCAAACCCATGAAACCAGATTAATGTGTTCAGAAAGAAGCATTTAGCAGTCTTTTCTTGCCCTACCTGATAACTGGATGTCTTTATTTCCTCTTTCATTTGATTACGTAATCTTAGGCTTTAACCTCACCCCGCTTTTATAATTTATAATTTTGCTTGTCTCTTGTTTCTATGATTTGAGTTGAACTGAGTACATGGTAACCTAATTTATCAGTCACTCAGCATCTTGCGCATTTATCGTCTTTATTAAGTAACTACTTTACCATTGTTTGCATACATTTATTTTGTTTAAAAACTTGAACTGCCTGTGTAAAAACTATGCAAGCACAATTTTTCAAGGACAGTTCACTAATTACTGAGCCTTTTGTAAACTGAACTCATGAAAAAAATTCGCAAGTATGTAAAACTTTTCTGGACATAAACCTCATAGTTTACTTAGCCTGCAAGCAGATGATGAGAAGTCAACGAAACAAACAACGATACTTTTTTTATTTTGCACAAACCATTGTTGTTTGGCTCTATTCAAATTCATCAGGGAGAATTAATGCATGATTGGAGGCAATCGGCCACAAGAAGCCTTGCCTCGCCTAGGTTTCGTGCTAGTTGGCACTCACTAGTCAGTTACCAAGGCGTATCTGCAACCATGAAGGAACTTATCTCCCTTCTGAGATTACAAGCTGCTCCATTCAGTGCCGCAGTCTGTACTGCACCAAAGAAAGGACTAGACACATCACGCTTGTTACTAGTGACCAATCAAAGTATCCAGTACAGTAGTCCTACAGGAGGTCAGTCGCGAGCCTGAATCTCTCAGGGCTAACGTCTCTGGTGACGCAGGTTCATATCTAAGAAGGGATATAAGTTCCTTCAGGGTTGCAAATACTCCTTTTTGACGACTGAATGCTAAACTATCCCGAAGCATTGGTCAGAGAAAGCTTCCTGCCGATTGCCTACAACCATCTAATATCATCAAATCAATGTGCACATTCCATTACTTATTTTGTAATATTATTGAATATAACCAAATATCTTGCTGTAAATAACAATCCTTCTTTCTGCCTTTGAAGCGTTTTATGATTGTATGCATATCTGAAAGAAGTTATAGAGAGCTAGACAGTAGGATGCAAATATCGTTTACATGCATTGATACCGCAACGAGTCAGCCTGCGTTACTACACGGTGGTAGCGCTATAAATTGCGGACTAATAGAAATTACAAATCATGGATCAGCTAGTGGATTCAAACCAAAGGCTTGCTTACTTAACAACGTAATGATTTCTTGAATCTGCTCTTCTTGGGTGTTACTGTAGAGCCTAAAACTAGGATGGAACAGATATTACGAAGTCTTGATTGGGTTTTCACTTGTTCCCTAATTGATATCAATCTGTGATCAGACTTAAAATTACCCCTTGAAAATGTGTTGATCACTGGACTACATGTCCAGCTGTTGCAGTGGATTTTGACTTTAATCTCCAACGAAACTTAGAATACGATTTACATAGCGAGTGCCAAAAAGTAAAGCAAATTTAGATTGAAGGCTTCCTGTCGAACACCGCCAACCATCTAATGAAGTGAACATCATTTTAATGGAATCGGTTACTTTCTTCACTTAACTTAACTAGCAAGCGTCATTTCACCCACCGGTGGAACAGATGAAGACGTCAAAGTCAGAATAGGAAGTATATAAGGCAGGCCGTTATCACTCTGATATCTGTCTGGAAATTGAATGCAATCAGCAGAAGAATAAGATTTGGTTTTTCAACATCGATGCTGAGTCAGTCGCTTCTTGTATATGAGTTAGAAATTGGGCGTGTGTGTGTGTGCCTTAAAGCATTTCCAACAGGCCAGTGCAGACTTTCGTCAACAGCTGCCGTAGCATAATATTGTATATCAAATGGTTGGACAGAAAGAATTAGTAACCCCGATCTATGGGAACGAACCAACTGGTCGCTCAGCAAATATTCCGTAAAACGCAGGTGGATTGGGAAAACACTGAGGAGACTGTCGAATGACATCACGCCCTAGGCCATCATTTCACTGGTAGTCTAATAGAAAACGTACGGTGTAGCGTACCAATGCAGCGTGGGGGAGATGGTAAGAGTAGAAATAAGAGGTTAAGGGCGATTGTTAGATCAGCTAAAGAGGATCTCAGATAATAGGACAACGTGATGACGTGCTGCTGAAGCCCTCTTTGCTACTTGAAACCTAAAGGAACAATAACAAATTAATGATAATATTATTACCCATGTCTACCATGGTATCTAGAAGTTATTTCAACCAGCTTTCAAACTGAACAATCACACGTGGATTGAAGAAATTCATGGACGTTTCAAGAAAAATACAACAATGGAAACAGCCTCATTATGGTCGAGAAAATGCCTATATTCATCTGGAGTAAATTTAAAAGAGATGACGTATCACACCGTCTGAACAAGAAACTAAGAGTTGTCTTTGCTACCGTTTACCCACCATCTAAGCCTTCTCATATTTACAGCATAAGTCGTGCACATTATTTATATTGATGTGGTGAGTGGATAAGTACCTAGCTGAAATCACCTACAATTGTATTTACAAATTCACATCTACGCACTATAACAAGTACTGTGGAAGGACAGGAAAGTGGTCATCTATAGGTCTCTTCAGCTACATTCGCAAATCCCTAAGACTCAAAGACCTACATACTTTTATTACGGCGCCATCACCATTAAGACAGGTACGCAATTGTACTTCGATTTGCTGATTTGCCACTGGCATCAACCAACTCAAACCAAATATGAATTTAGGGAATGAAACAAGGATTAATTATATGGCAACTCTGTTAATAATCTTTCCAGGTAATATGTAATTGTGTATGCTCAGTCACTGCCCCCCCCTCAATTTGATCCCGTGGTCTCATATACCTCACATAACTGAAATCTTATCACTTCCAAATGCTTACTCGTATAGTAGTAGGCGATTTATTCTCTCTTGTATGTTGCAGTGCCATCGATGTTTTGTTTGTCCTTGGCTTAAACATGCAGGTTGGTGTTCAGAAATACGCTGATGAACCTGCCTAACTGTACGTCTAATGTAGCTGGTTCCATAGTGATGGTCAAGCTGGTAGATACACATACAGGAGGATAAATTAAGTAGTCTGTATTATTTCACGAATGCGAAATAAGGGTGGTAGTGAAAAGACAAGGTACTTCTGCAAGACTGAAAGCCCCATTAACTATTTCACTGTTTTCATCACCCAGCAACTGCACTTATATGAAAAACGTTATTTTTTTGCAGCTGTTGCCCAAACTGCTTGTTCTGGTGCTAAATTCACATTTCTCCGGATGAAGTTATCTGGATTACTATTATATTTATTATTATTTCGTCTGATTCCTAGAGGAAAATAAGGCTTCAGACGCGCATCTCCATTGCCGTCGGTTCTCTGTCAACGTTTTCACCCCGCTCTAAGTCTGCCCACACGCTTTCATCTCCTCTTCACATGACCTCATCCAAGTCACCCTCACACTGACGACCAACTCGCCACTTCCCTTTCGGGTTCCACTCGAGAGCTTGTCTGGTGGTGTTACTTGATGGTTACCTCAGAGTATGACCAATCCATCTCCATTTCTTTCTGCCTATTTGCTGCACAATCGGTTCCTACCGGGTCGGTTCGCTCACTGCCAGAGATCCCTGTTGCTGATCTTTTCTGACTGGCCATCTGGTATTGAGCAGTGTTGAGCGAAGACGGCTGTCATTGAAGTTCTGTAGTTTGTTTGAGATGTTCTTTATGACGCGCCAAGTCTCTGATCCATATAGTGAGTAGCACTGAATTCACACTGAAGTTGGAAATCTGGATCCTAATCTTCATGCAGAGTGCTGTCGACCTCCACACACTTGACAGAAATGAGAGCTTGTCTTGCTTTTCCGATTCTTGCTTTGATATCCTAGTCAGTTCCGCCTGTAGTTGAAACGATACTTCCCAGATAGGTAAAGGAGGTTTCTCCTTTCAGGTTCCTCCCATTTATGCTGATTATTTTCTGTCGTTGTGGCTGTTGCTGTTGACCAGGAATCTTCATCACCTCTGTTTTCTCTATGTTCACCTGTTGTCCTATCTTTGATGCTTCTTGTGCCAACTTGTTGGAACTTATATGGATAACCATCTTAACTAAGTAATTCGCTTTCCCTTTATCCTAATTTCCTCATAGAGGGAATCGTTTGAACAGGTTATCCTGGCCTTATATACCAGAAACCTTTCCAAGTTGAGTTGACATTTCAAAGGTGCAAAACTCATAAAGTGAATCTTCCCACCTGTTGTTGTAGGTTATCAATACACACTCATTCTCGGTGCCTTATCCACTTTCTTGATTGGGAAG